TAAATAAATATAAACATAAACATATAAGCGCTGTATAACAATATTAAAATAAATATTATACACATAATATATGTATGTATAAATAAAATAATATACATATATAAAAATTAAATAAAACAAAAAAAAGAGGGAAAATGAATAAATAAATTGAAATAAAAACAAAACAAAAACATTAATAAATGCGATAATGCATGTTTTTTAATTATTTGTTTCATTCAATTATCCACGCGGTGACAGTTAATGAGTTAATTTGTGTTAAAAACGCACTCTTTGGCTCTCTGTTTATAAATGAAGGGCATATGTATGAACGCAACCATGCGTACACATATTCGGTCGGTCATGTAACGCAGTAATCTTGCATAGCGTGCAAAAAAAAAAAAATAAATAAATAAATGGGACAGCGGCAGGGTAGGGTGATGTGAAAGTAGAAATAAAACTGGCAGCATAATATTTAATTTATTAAATTGTTTTAATAAGTAATTTTATTGTTTTACAATATTAATGAATATTTAATTAGCAAACGATTTAAATGTTAATATTTTTTGTTTACACAATTAGTTATAAAGCGCGGTTAGCTGGTGTGGTATTTATAATGACATTACGTTGCCCGATAACAATCAGTAAGTGAATGATAAATCTCTACTTATGATGACTGATTATCGAGAATGAAAATTTAGATGACTATTATTGACTCATGTCATCAGCAGATATTTGTAAAAATTCCACGTATTTTTTTTTTAATATAACTTACCCTTGCTGTCGCAACGCTGGTGTAGAAAGCTCTTATTGTTAGATGCGCGCTTGATAATATCAGACATCAACTGCAACTTAAACACATTCTAGACAGTTTTTTATTTAATACTGACTGAATCTGTGACACGCCATAATACAATAGAAACCCATAATAAAAAATGTGCACAGACTTTTATTATTCTTTGTGCAAGATGTGTAGGCAATTGACAAATGTTTGTAAGGTCTAAAAATATGATCCTAAGATCCTTTAGAGTAAAGAAGAGAACAATTTTGTTTAATTCGTTACTCGTACGGCACCAAGTCGCTTACAACTATCCCTAGCGAGAACCTGATATTGTGTAACAGAGAACATTTTATATTTCATATATAGATATACATCGTTCGTCAATGTAGGGAATTTGTCCTTTCGCAATTATTGGCTTATATATGCAAGATGATTTAATTTTTCTATTATAAATCAACATAAAGCATAGCAATCATGAAATTTATCATCCGCTAAAGTGTGAGATACTCGAAACATATATTCTCCTTCAGCACATCACGAGGAGTGAAACTCATTATAAATATTCTGAATCCAAAACACAGTATAAATATTCATAAGCCTAAGATCCACTGGAAAATTCTGTCTCTTTATTCGTTTGGTCATTTCTTTACACTCTCGCAGATGTATCAACTGCAGGAGGAGTTTAAAATGTTTATATCTACATATGTAGCCTGTAATTGCATATTTATTACGGGCGAAATGGTCTCGAATGCAGAATTTATTTCCCCACATTTTAAAGCTCCTTTAGTTTTTGCCACTCTTCCGCCACACTATTGTTCCAGGTTTCGCTTAGAAAGTTTTTATATTTTTAATGCTTTAAGCTTTTACGTACGTGCGACTAACTAAATAGGCTAAGTAGACTATCTTTACAATTTGCCGATACGCGATATAGAAAAATCAACGAAATGATTATAAAAACTAAACACAATCACAAAATATGAACATAAACGGGGAAGAGAACCAGACGCTGTATTAACAGAGGCAGAGGAAGGAAAAACTTGTTACTGGAAATTATCATCCAGTGCTTGTAGTGCTAGGGACATCTTGAAAGCAATTCGAGACCATAATATCATTATTAACTTTATGACAATAAGTGGAGTGACCATCTTGTCTGCTCATTTTTCGCAAATACAGTGGATATTCTTGCCGCTGCTTCTCTGTTGATGTTTATTTTCCTTCAGCATTAGAATTCATTTCTCCGGTCTAAACAAATTCTAATAGCAACAATAACGATAACAACCATATAAAAAAGTTTAGCGCAATAAGGGTTTCAACGAATTTTTGTATGCCTTATGAGATTCATCGTCATCAAAGCCTCCAATTGATTAGATTTATTTAGGGTCTCACATATAATGCATCACTCAATACGTTCGTAGGGTGCACAAATATAGACATAAAGTATGACTATTGATTCGTAGGATGATATATAGGTATAGGACGACTATTGACAAATCCATATGATTTTTAGATGACACCAACCTTCAATGGGGTGAGAGTCAAAATTTCACGACGTTCTACTTTTCCTACTTTTATTTTTGTCAAAGAACGGAGAAGACCGAGTGTTGTGTGCGGCGCCATAAGTGTATGACCAACTGTCACTTGTAAGCTAAAGGTAGCGATGTTATGAAATTATGACATATGTCGTTTGAAAGTTGGTATTATCTAAAAATCAATAGGCATTTTATACCTGAATGTCATCCTACGAACTTACTGAGTCATGTGCAAGTTACAAGAAGCACTAACCGTATGGATATTAGAATTTATTTATTTCTTTATAATATGCATGGCTTGTATACTGATATCCTTCACAAACTTTACACAGACATTGCTTGATAGTGGCAACAACCTATCTTTTTACGTTTTGCGTAATCATAGTAATATAAGGAACAAAGGCTAACTTCATTTCGGCGTGCTTTTGCAGTAATTACATTTTATTTCTAATTCATCTTTTAGTTATGAACGATACTTTGCAAGCAAATGTGTCACAGATGACACAGATTTACATCAGTCGCTTCGCACACTTATTCGATGAGGATAATACAATTTTTTTTGGATTTATAAGGTGAACGTTTCGGATTTTAATATAAATAGTTGGCACTGTTAGCTAATCGGTGGTAAACTATATTTTACATATACAAAATCAAAAGCCTGCGTTATGCTGATTCACGGAAAACATGCTCTATTAATAAATCAAAGAGACATTTTTTAAGAGGATGTGGGGAAAAGGAAAGAAGAAAGAAACCAAAAGACTTTGTATGTACAATGTCTGTCTGCGTTGTAAGGCGTTGTTAACATCAACTAGCAAGAGTGTCGACAGAAATGCGTTAAGTAACTACATTCGCTATTTACATTTTGAGTTTGTTTTTTCTTTTTTTCTCTTATATTTCTTGTTTTTTTGTTTTTTTGTTCGGATTCTCCAACACCTTGCAACAAACGGTTCAACGATAACTGCATAAATGCAACCGACAAACAATCAAAAAAAAAGGGGAAAGCACGTAAATGTTGGGAAAATGAAAATGTGTAAAACTACGACTGAACTGAAAAGTTCATCTCTAAGAGTTTGAATTTGTTCTCGTCATGCCTCCCTTAACCTATTTCAAGTTTTTAGAGAGAAGTTTTGTACGTAACTATTATTTATGCATTTGTTCAACTCTTGCCCGGAATATGTCCAGCTCAAGTAGAGGCACAAACTCTGTAAAGTTTATCAAATTACGAAGAAAGTATAAAGTGCTTGCATTGAAAAAAGACACGCCACGCTGATGAACTTACGTATGCACTCATATAGTACTTGATTTGACAAATAAAAAAAAAAATAAATAAAAAGATGAAGATGAAGATGAAGATGTAGATAATGGTAAAAATTCATTGAAGAACTTGAAAGTATGTCTCTTATACTCTCGTACAACTATGTATATAATTAACATAATTGAGTTGTTTCTTAAGAATATGTGGTCAGAAATGAACTTATTTACAATATTTGATGGGAAAGCATGTTCGTTGGCTATCTATCTACTCGCAATCAAATTAGAATATTGGAAGAAAAAAGTTTCTACTTTTATAAATATATTCAACTTGATATTAGAAGTCTTGAATTTTAAACAATTACAATGCTAATCCATCGGTATAGGATGCAAGCATCTGCGTTACGGGCATCTTTACATACTTAGCATCAATAATATAAAGATTTACAAACTGGCGAATAGACAGAGGAAGATATTCGTGCAATCTGAACATTCGTTAGTTACAAGCAGAACGATAATGCAAACTATATACTGGCTATAGACTAGGCTGTGATCAGAGCATATATTATTAACCATACCGACAGTTAAAAATTAAACTGATCTATCTA